TAATAAAAAATTATTCCGACGAATTGATAACCTTCCTCCTTTTTGTGAAGTCGGTTAAAAAAATAATGAATCTAGGATCATTGAAGGTTTTAAGCTCTATTAGCTTTTGTGGAGAATTATCTAGAAAAATTCATTTGTGTGTCCCATATTCAGCTGCCAATCGGTTAATTACCAAAGAGAATAAATCAGCATTTATCCCATACGCAAAATGAGATGCAGTTCAACAGAACTCCTCTAAACGAACCGAACTGCATCAAAATTGTCATTAATTAACCGATTCAAATATGGTCACCGTAGCCATAGATCGTATTGGTGCCATACTTCGATGTTTGTCTCTAGCATAACTCGACATTCTCAAATGCAATCGAACTTTCACAACTCGAATCACCATTTATACAAAGAAAAGGTTCGCCTTATAAAGACTTATGCCAAATTTCCACTAGACATTGAATGACAAAAAATTGGTGCCATTTAATAAAATTCAAGTGGAAATGAACTTAATGACCATTTTAAAGTAATGACACGATTATTTTTTAATGTCTAACTTTGTCTTTAAAATATTTGCCATTTAATGCCTAGTGGAAATCCAACATTATTTAGAATTATATGATTTTTAACTTTTAAGCATATTCTTTTTTTTTAAGATTTATATAAATTTACTATTAAACATTCCGTTAGTTTGCATTTGTTTTCACTGATAAATACTTTAATTCACTTTACCATTTGAAGGTTACTCAAACTCATAAACAACAGCAAATAGCATTTTCATAAAGAAAGCAAATCATTCGTTTTACGAATAGGCACTTCCTCGAACAACAAGGTTCGTCAGAAAAATAAATCGAAAATCAACGCAATTTGAGACTTCCCTTAATAATTCGACTTACAGAATGTAGTATGTGCCAGCATTTTTATTCGAGTTATGAAGAAATTCGAGCTGTGGAAGTTCGAGTTACGGAAGCATAAAAGTATGTATGTATGTATGTATGTATGTGTGTATGTATATTATTCTATAAATTCTGTAAATGCTATTGCCACTCAATTTAGTTCGAGTTTTAGAAATTTCGTATTATGGAAGTTTGAAACTTAAAACAATAGCTTTCCGTGCAGCAATCAGTCTTCTAGAATTGATAAAGTTTTCGCAGGAGATCTATTGTTTTAAAATATTCCAAAAGTTTCCAACCAGAATGGATGTCTGATATTTGGGGTGGTCACTCCATTTTTTTTTTTTATTCATTTTTTTTTACAAGTTGTTACAAGTTTTTACAAGTCTCGGAGTGTCTATGAGGTCGCAAACCCCAAGAAATGCTACGTCTTCTTCGTAACAGGGAAGCATTACAGCTACAAAAATGTCTTTATAAATCATTTTGGGCAGAAAAACACTTCCCCACATCGCGCTTCCTCCAACATGCTTGCTCGTCTGTATGAAATAGCGCATTTGAATTCCTTTATTTACTAGTCTCCCACCCGGTTACTACTATTGATATAAAAAATGTTAAACTCAAGCTGTTTGCAGAATAAGTCACTTTATTTTCTTCCTTCGAAGACTTCATATTATTATTTAATAGAAACATATCGAGCCCTAACCGCCAAAATAACGTAAGCGACATTTTTTTCAAAACTTTATTTTTGATGCAGAAATGCATCTAAATGCTCTAGGAATATTTCTGCATCAAAAAGAAAATTTTGAAAAATGTCGCTTACGTTATTTTGGCGGTTAGGGCTCGATATAATGCCAATATATGTACAACAAACCATTAGTAAGATCCTGGAATGGAACGCATCTTAGAATGTTGCAGTTGTCGCGGCTTACTTATAGCGTTGTCTTTTCCCGAGATAATAGGTCAATTCAATAACTTTTCCAGTAAGTACTTGCAGCGAGAGCGTAAAAGAAAAATAGAGAGTAAAATTGAGAGCAAGAGAAAATTTTCAGAAAAAGTTATTGAACACGAAACTAGTAAAAATTTGGAATTTAGGCCATTTTGACAGTTTCTGACGGTTAAGTTTTGGCCGCAATTTTCTTTTTAATTGGGTATAGTTCCCATCGTCATAAAAATAAAAAAAATATACAATAGATTTAAAATTTTCATCCATATTTTCATTTCACTAATTATGTTTCATCAAATCATCCTCTTAAACAGTTTGTTTACATTTAAATTTGAAACATAACCTTACTTTTTGACTCCTGCAAATTCCTGCTAGTAAAATTTTTACTTGCAAGAACTTTCCGCTCTCTCGGCTTGTTACGCTCTCGAATTTGCTCTCTTGCAAATATTTTGGGTTATTGAATGCATTTCCAGTAAAAACTTGCCAGTACTAGTAACAATTCGTAACAATTTGTTGATATTGAATGGACCTAATGTTGCACTTACTCTTCTCTGCGCCAGGTCTATCAAGATTCCGTGTCTCAGCATCTTCACATGCATATTGCGTGCTCTTTCCTTAAAGTGTTGCCCTGTGATAATGTTGCCATATAAGAAGGTGACATTTTTTTCGAGAAAAGAAAACGCCATTAGTCCTGCCTAGGTGGAATAGTCCTTCAATCCTCGTCGTCAAATTCAACTTACGGGAGGCTCAGGAAACGTGCTGTTTTGACGGGGTGGGTGACCAGAGGGAGAATGGTGTTATTTGAATTGGGTTGAGTTGTTATTTGAAGAGGTGGTTGGTATCGTGGGTGGAATCTCCACATGCCGGACATACCTTTGGGATGTCGGGTCAAGTCTGGACAAGTAACAGTATTCAGACTGTAATCGAACCAGAATCACGCGGGTCTCTCGGCAATTGAAGCTTATTGTCTGCAACTGGTGGTGACAGTCTCCCTGTGAATGCCGTTTATACTTAACCCGTCCAGAAAGTAAAGTGCCTTTTGGGATGCTTACGTATGTAGCTCCCTATTAGCAAATCCTTGCTGAGCATGATGTTGTGCTCCCTTAGAGCAGGCTGCCGAATATTACTTCGATGAGTAGTTCACCGTCCGAATTGGTTCGCCGTCGAGAAAAATTCGCAGCTGTAGCCCAACCTTTTTCGTGCTGGTGCTAAAAATTGTTGCTGAGGATTTCTTGTGGGAGAGGGTTAGGCTACTTGCAGTGAAGAAGCGAGAAAGCAACCATTGGCGGACGCCATTATCGAGCAATCGTCAGCGTGCGAGTTTCTCTGGTGGTTGAGGGAGTTTGGAAATATAAAAATTAAACAGAAGCAGGGAGAGGTCTTAGAGTGCCAAGCCTAGCTAAAATAAGCGAAGAGAATTGTTAACGGATATCAAGTGTAAGTGTTTATAGAGTAGCATAGCTGAAATTATAGACAAACGATAAGAGCTTATATGAGATGCCTAGCGTAGCTGAGCTTCTATTCCAGCTCCAGCTTAATTGTAATGAATTACATATGAGGGCTCAATAGACTTGAGTATGGATGCCTTTCGAAGCAAGGTTTAGCAAGCCTTCCTTTTTTTCTTAATTAATAAATGAAACACTACAAAATACAAGTAATTTTTAAGCAAAAAACAAAACCGACTTCAGTTCTCATATAAAAATATAAGATTACCGTTAATTTCTTCATGATCCAATGTTCCACCTCTGAGGTACCAACTTTACTTTAAAAAAGGAATTAGGAAAATCGGTTGACGTGTTCCAAAGTTATGCGGTAACATAGATATATAAAAAAAACTCAGGACGAATTGATAACCTCCTCTTTTTTTGAAGTCGGTTAAAAAAGAAATAAACATGTCGGGGTTCCGAATGTGTGACTATTAAAAATTCCATATGGAGACAGCCTATTATTATGAACGTAATGACACCGACATTGTCATTCGAATTTGGCCATTTAATGACCAGTGCGAATACGGTATTAGAGCTCAAAAGAAATGTGCTATTCTTTGTGCGGAAAGCGTGCAAAATTTGCGAGGCACTTTATTTCCAAAAATTACAAAATTTTTGTCACCAGTTCAAAAAAGACCCACTAATATTAACTAGTAAGTAGTTTTTAAGCAAAAAACAAAACCGACTTAAATTCTCATATAAAAATGCAAGATTATCTTTTATTTCTTCACGATCCAATTATCGGATCTAAACAACATTAGTATGGGACCACCCTTTTCGATAAAAAAGAATTACAAAATCGGTTAACGTGGTCCAAAGTTATGCGGTAACATACATTAAAAAAAAAATGTTTAAATATTCCGACGAATTGATAACCTTCTCCTTTTTGTAAAGTCGGTTAAAAAACAGATGCTTTTTAACCGAAGAAAATTTAAAAATCCAAGCTTAATTTAAATTTCGTTAATATTTCCTTTGCACAGTTAAGATCTTAAATAAGTTAGATTAAGAAATGCAGCAAATACTTAATTCTTAATTAACAAAACTTTCTTTTACCCTCAACAGCAACAACACGAATCAACCACAAATGTCTACACCGCAGGCGCAGTTGCAACAAAGTTTGCAACACCAACAACAACAGATGCAAATACAATCGACACATCCACAGAATCAACAGCAGTCAGTGCAACAAACGATTACAGCAACAACGGTCATCACACAAGCGACAACAATATCAGTGCCGACATTGCTGACGACAACGCATCAGCACCAGCACCAGCACCAGCACCAACATCAGCATCAGCTGCATCAACACCACCAACAACAACAGCAACAACAAAATCAACTGCAAACAAACCAGCAGCAGCAGCATCAGCAGCTGGAAGGTAGTCCGCCAAATCCGCCCGAATTAAGTAATAAAACGTAACATCAGTGGGAATTGATGTTTATTAATATTTAATTTCTGCGTTTTTTGCTTTTAAATAATTTAGCGTACACACACACACACACACTTACGTATGCACGTATGTATGTACACACAGATATGTATATATACATATGATATAAATATTATATAGATACATACATACAAACATACATATATATTTATATGATAAAACAAAACAGAAATTATATAATACACAAACAAAAACAAATTAACGAGCTACCTATCCCCCCGCGAAATACTTTCCTAAGCAATTGCTGTAATTTTTTTATTAAAACGGAAAAGAAAACAAAACAACAAGAAACAAATTGAATTAATACTACTTACTATAAATATATAAACATACATACATACATACAAAAATAGCAGAAACAGAACGAAAAATGAGATATGCATTAATATGTAATACATACAAATGTATTTATAAATAACACACAGCTAGATTTACATAAGTATGTATGTAGCAAAGAAGTACACACATACGTATACAAATATATAGATATGTAAATATATGAAAGGTATATACATATAGTATGTACATACTGACATTTACCAACAAGAAATTAACAGAAGATGCTGATCAAGTTTATATGTAATTATTAAGTGCAGCTCTAAAACATTACTTTCATGCATATGTATGTATGTAGTATGTAGATGCGTACATAATAATGTGTCAGGCATGCACGCATGCAAATGCATATGCATACTAAGTAACCCACACAACCACCAAACAAAAACAAAAATGAGTAGCGAAATCAGCAGCAGCAATATAAGTACATAGTAGGACACAGTTGAATGAGAGGGGCGTGTAAGGATATTTGCAGATGTGCGGAATGTGAAATGAAAAACGAAGAATGATAAATTAAAAAAAACAAAAACAAAGTTGAAAAATTCGAAAGTGTGCGTGCGATAAAGTCGAATGAGAAGAAAAAATATAACTGAAAAGTATAAATAAAATCTAAAAGAATAAAAGGCAAGAAAATCTAATCAGCGACAATGTATGAGCAAAGATTGGTAAAGCGAAAAATGTTGAGGATATTTACATATATACATAAATACACATTTATGTATGATACTTATGTACATGCATGCAAGCAAATAAGCAAAAAACTCATATGTACATCTCAACTCCAGCGTATCTACATACATACATATATTTTTTAATCAAATATAATTATGTAACTATAAAGGCATTTGCATATGAATGAAAAGCGAGTAAACTAGAGATGTTATGCGAAAAAAAACAAAAGGAAATCCTTAAAAAAAAAAACAATAAAACCAAAAATGTTTAAAATAAAAAAGTGCATGTATGTAATATAAAAAACAGAACGTTGACCACTTATAAGCTAAGAGCCCTGTTACACGATGTGTATTTCTATATGTAAATGCAACTTTCCTGATGCGTTCTAATATATGAGACATACAAGAACATGCAAAAAAGTAGCATTTACATGTGCAAATACATATCGTGCAAGAGCACTGTAAGTAGTATGAGCTGCCACACATACACCAACCAAGCAACATACAGATAACTCTACTCTCAGCTAGGTATGCCTAAAGAATTTCCTTTTTGCATGTAATTACAATGAATTGCTTTCTTAGGCTCACTCTTTAGACAAATTGTGTCTTGCACATCACCAATCGCTTTCCCCTTAATTACATACAAGCATGTACTCTTTTATTCTAGTTAATATTTTCAAAGTGCAGAAAATTGTATTTTAACTGTTGTTGTTTTATTTTTACATATACAAAAAACTTTTATTTTCTTCTCTCAAGCTTTGTTTGTTTTAATTTTATATTTTATATATAAAAATACTTTACAAACATTTAATATCTTAAAATAAATTTTTACACATATAATTTTAAGTTTACTTCAAACCTTATCCCCGACAAACCTTTAATTATCCTCCTACAAACAAAAAAAAAAACAATTGTAACAATAATTTTTACGTACATTTTTTTTTTTAATTTTAAATAATTTATATTGTACTTTACAACAGACCAGCGAAAAAAATAATTGTTTTTAATTTATGCAATAAAAAAATTAACTTAAATAAATGAAAAATTTAAAAAAAAACTTCTGTGTTCTTTTTTGTGTTATATACTTTTTTTGAATATAGTTTTGGATTTTTGTTTAATTTCGTTTGTTTCACTGTAAGTTTTTTTTTACAACTGAGTTTAAAATTATTTAACACCCACATTATAGGTATATTAGACCGCACCACCTTACACGCTAACAAAAAAAGTTCGCCCCACACCCCTTACGTCTAAGGTATTTTTGAAAGGCACGTTAGACCGAAAAAAAACAAAATTGTCTTCGAATCGAAATACTTATTTAGCAGAAGTTTAGTGATTTTTGGTGAGGTTTAATTTATTGACATTAGGGTGGTACGTTGGGGTGATAAGAACTATCTCAGCTGCTGGGTAAGTACAAGAGCGATGTTTGTGAGGTCAATGAACAAAATTAAATTCTCCTCGGGACAAGAACATTAATATATGTATCATACTTTAAGATCCGACTGCAAATGCCGAAGATATGTATGACGGAAAATGTAAAAGAAACGATCCCATGGGCAAAAAATAGTTTTTTTCGAAACTGCATTGCAAAATTACTTCAGCTTCGAAGGTATACGGTGAACTTTGTTTGTGGTACGATCTAATTTACATATATGTGTGGGACTGCATCGTGTTTCGACGGCTGAGTGGAAGAACGACCTATCTCGGCAAACAGTTCGAAAACGCCCTATTTCAGAAAAGTTTTCAGAAACGCCCTATTTCAGAATTTCTATGAAGAACGCACTATCTCAGAAAACTTTTCGGGAACGCCCTATTTAAGAATTTCGTTGAAGAATGCGCCATCTCAGAATTTGATTAAAGAACGCCCTATTTCAGAATTCTGTTGAATAACGCCCTATCTCAGCTGCCGATTTTAAGACGTCCTATCTCAACATATTTTCAATACGTTTTTCAACTAAATTCTGAGATAGGGCGTTTTCAATACAAATTCTGATGAATATGGTTTTGAAAAATTTTCTGTAAAATTGTAATTACAATGCCTTTAATCGTGAAATCAAAAATCGTTCGGCTTTTTTTTTTTTACTTTTACACTTAAGTTGCATATAACATCCATAGACTGAATTTTTTTCACAAGTCTAAAGTTTCGATTCTGTTTTTGTCGTGTCGCAAGGATCTCATCAGGTAGTCTCCTCGTTATACATTGACTCGGCAAGCCTGAAGCCGTGGGAGTGGGCGACATCGGTGGGCGCGGTGCATAGATCTTCCGCCGTCAAGGTTATCAGCATTCTGGGAAGGTTTTCACCACTTCTGAGTTCAGCTGAGGTACATATGAGACAGCTACCTCAAGCATGTCGCAGCACCCGAAACGCACCTAATCCCTCTCGTCATTTCTTCTTTCTGATGGGCGCTGTAACCGCCTAAGCAATATTTGCCGAGTCCAACAGAGCACGCCAGTCGTTTCTCTTCTGTCATTTCTGCTTCCTCTATACATATTAATGGGCGGCATTGGACCACCTAGAACGAGCTAGTCTTTACGGGTCACTTTGTGTAGCGCCTCGTCGAGCGGATGGTCCACGCGCGACTCGTTGTCCCTTCTCCAATCGTGCAGGTGCCGTTTCACGTGGAGAGGAGGTGGAGCGGGGGGACGTAACATTTCAAAGCAAAGCGTTGTCTTTCGTCGACTAGGTGATGCTTGGACGTCATCAGACGGCAGCCTATAGCCGTACGTAGAATTCCACGGTTGAAGATTCCTCCACAGCGTGTAACTGCTTCCTACCAACGTCGTATTGCTCGTTTGATGGAAGAACAAAATAACAAAAGAAATAAAAAAGCGAAAAATTGCTTTAAAGAACAAATACTATATACCACTTAACATCACTTTTCAACATTTTATTTTTATCATATTCGACAATGCAACAGTATGAAAACCACTTTTATAAATTCAATGAGACGAAAAACTCTGCAAATACTCGGAACTTATTCTTGTAATAAATTATTCAACTGATGTATTTCCGCTTCCGTTAACTACGTATGACAGCATTCAGCGAACAATCGATAAAAGTCGATTAACAAGAGTGTTGCTAGTAAAGTCATACATTTGAATACTGTATTTTTGTTTATCCATGTCTTTTGTTGCAGTATTTAATCATACATATTGGGCAATACATTCAACAAAGTAATTGAGCGCAGCTTGCTTGCTTCGAAAAAGAAAAATCTACCAAGATCTGTATATAAAAAAATACATGTGTATTTTAACAGATACAATACTTTAGCTTTATATATACAAATAATAAATAAATACAGATAAAGCAAACACTTTATGTGCAAAAAAAATATATAAAAAAATAATAAAACATATGTATTAAATTTACGAAAAAAAAATTGATTGCCATTTTAAATCACAGAATTCTACATATTTATATCAAAACACTGCTCTTAATAAAACTACATATATAGAAAGACACACACAATTATTAGAAACTAATTAAAACACAAAGAAAAATTGCAAATGCTGAATAATTTTAAGCGCAAACAAATATGCATCGGCCCACCTAAACACAAAAACTACAAATAAAATTGTAAGCTCTCAGCTGCGCTCACTACCTCTATTTCAACATACCCCTGTACTATAAATACTGAAATAGTTTTTATTGTTGGTTTGTACTAGGCTATTTTGATCAATTTGGCTTATGTACAAACCAACAATAAAAACATAATTTTTGAAACTGATCATTAACTCATCGTTATATTACTGAAATAGTTATTAAGCTGTTTTTAATTTCAAAATTTGTTTAGGTAACTAAATAATGAGCTTATGCCCTTTTTCTTCTAATGCAATGTAGCTTTTTTACTTAAATAGGTTGCATGCTCGACACGAATTTCACGCTCATATCATTAATCGGTTTGCATGGCGACAAATTAAGGAATTTAAATAAGAAATACTTAAAAGTCTAAATGTAGTGGAGAATAAACAACAACCAACACTTATCCAGCCCAAAATAGTAGAAACCAAAAAGAAAAATTATATTATACAATACGAAAAAAAAACACGTACAT